TTGGGAAACTCCGTTTTATGATTTTATAATTAACTTAGATTCTTAGTTGATTGTGTCATTTTCTGTCTCTGATTTTAATGTTGTATATGCCATTAAAGGTTTATTGATTGATTGATTGATTGATAATGTAGCAAAATCTCAGATTTTGGTATTCAGTAAAAGGAAAAGAGAGAAAAATTTTAGTTGTAATATAGAAGGCCAATCTATGGAACAGGTTAATCAACTTAAATTCTTGGGAATTTATTTCAACGCACTTCTTACATGGAAACCACACTTGGACCTGGTGAGAAATGCTGCCTTGAATGTTGGAAGGACAATTGTAAAATATTTTTATGCAGCAGGAGGTGAATTTGTCCCCTCAGCTTTAAAAGTATATAATGCTAAGGTCACAAACCAGTTTTTATATGGTGTAGAAATTTGAATTGACGCTGTCTCTGAGAGAATGGACCATATTCAGTATGATTATTTTCAACGCTTATTGGCTACTCCTAGATGTGTTTCAGGCAGAGAATTGAGAGTGGAACTTGGTGAATAGTCAGTGGAGGCTGGCATAGATAAAAGCATTCCTCTTGAACGTTAAAATCTTAAAATCTGAGGGTGGGTCTACTCTGCTCGGACTTGTACAGGCAGATGTGTGTATTAGCCACTGGGATCATCTATTGGAAAAGAAAATGAAATGTTTAGGAATATCAAATTATATGGTAAAGACTACAGAGATCACAGAAATAACTAGGCTAATTAAAATGTATGGAAAGAAACTGAATACTAATAGTACATCTGTCAGGGCCCATAGGGTATGTTCGGCATCTTATTCACGTATACCCCTCCCAATGCAACTGCCACAATATTTTTATCATTTGACAATACCAAAGCTCAGAAGAGTTTTTACTCTGGCAAGAATGAATGCCCTTCCATCAGCAGTTTTGGAGGGTAAATATAAAAAAGTGCTATATTCAAATAGAACATGTAGATGTTCACATGATAAAACTGAAACAATTAAACATATGATTATGGGATGCCCTATATTTAATGAGCTGAGGGCTAGATTCATTACTCCTTTACTTAGTAATAAGGAAATGCCCACTGAGGCATCTGACAGTATGAGGGCACAGGTGACGTGGTTACCATCGGATGATTTTGTTACCCCCTCTGTGGCAAAATTTATGGGGGCAATAATTAAACAACAGAAGAATAACACTTATTTCATAATTATATTTTCTGCCCAAGGCTATCGCTATATGAGCAGAGATAGATGATAGATGATAGATAGATAGATAGATAGATTGATTAAAATTATTATTTCATACAAGTCAGCTCTTAGGGTCAAAGAAGGCAAGACAAAAATCACAGGTCTTAAACTTTAATGCTAATTTCAGCTGCGTGGTCCTGATTCACACTGGGCTGATGCACAGAAAAGGAGAGGTTTAACCCTTCTACCTAACAAGGTTTTGTCCATCAAAATCAGACCCCTCCTATTGTTAACCTTTTAAAGGAAAAGAGATGGACACCAGTCCTTTATCTTTAATGGGCTAACAATGTGGGGCACCATTTTCAATTAATCTTGTAGGGATTAAAGGAGTTAAACAGTCTTTGTTCCCTTCTATGCATGGCCCTTATCTGAGGTGGGGCCACAGAAATTGCTTTTCAGAAACCACAGGGGGATCCAATCATATATCTCATCTGAGAGCCACCCTGTGCAGAGCCATCCGAAGTGGAGTTGCACCCTTCTAAGCCCACTGACCATCCGTCATAGAGAAAAGGACAGCATTTGTTCTTGGTATATTTATTCCACAAATAAATTGGCTCCAGGTTTTAATTCAGGCCGTATTTCAGCACTCTTGTCAGTGCTAGAATTAAACCTGAAAGAAGCTAAGTAATAAAAGATTAGACTGAACATTCACATTATACATTTCCTTTGCCATGGCATAACCACATCCAGACTTCAGTATCTGCCATGAGAGGTGCAGTGCTGCAGATCTGCCAACACAAACCGTGCTGCTGTGAAGAACTAAAGATGATGAAAAATCTCCTGTATGTGGGGAGGGCTCTACCACTGCCCAGGGCATGGTGAACAGGCAAGCAAAAGCCCTAGCACCTCTCTCTCTTAAAAACCCAGACCTGGTTTTG